CAATGTAAGTCTATGGGAACTTTTTCATTTTTATTAATTATTTATAGGAAAACTATAAGTCTGATCAGTCTGAAACGATATAGCAACAAACTAGACTTTAGGGCCCAGGTCTCTGCCAAGTTTGGGGCTTGTGGCATTAAAGCCCTGGGACGAATTAGAGTTGGAAAATTTAGTCTCAGAAGAATAATAACAAGAAGTTTAAATAGCATAATATGTTGACTTTGTCAAGCCAACATAATAAGTTTAAACAGCATAACAATGTGTTGGCTTGATAATAATAATAACTAGAAGCTAAAGTTCGTAAACAAACTTTAAATGTTGACTTGACAAAGCAGCATGGGCCTTGGGGCAAAAGAGCCAGATTACTTGTGTGTTCGGTGTTCTTGAGTTGCCCCACTGCAAAAAAAAAAAAAAAAGGCTATGACAACAGCTTGGACAGAGTTGGCTATCCACAAATTTTTCTTTAACAGCTTTACAAAGTTGTCTTAATTTTTAGCTGTTTTAGGTAAAGCCAATTCAATACCAAAATGTTCACTTGCCTGCGCAGCGTAACATAAATGGGGAGGCCATGCACAAAGTAAGTTAACTCAGAATAAACATTTATTAAAGTAATTTATACTAAAGATAAACCCAAAAAAAGGAAGAGAAAAGAAAACAACAAAAGACTAAATATTAAAGAAGGCTCAAAATCTGGTGCTGGAGAGAAGTCAAGCTCAAACGAGGCACACCACGCTGGAGGACAGAGATCCTTTAATTAGTCTACTCATCATAGTAACCCACCGCACCTGCCGCTTGTCCCCACCCTGCAAACAGACAAGACACATACACAAAGCAAAACCATAACCTAGAACGCCAGCTAGAGGCGAACAGATCCCGTTTAGGGAACAGGTGCTACCCCGGGTCGTAACATATGTAGAAAATTAGCTCAAGAGGGAAATGTAATTAATCACAATTAATTGTAATTATTTACATACAATTATTTATATCAGCAGCCAGTAGTAACTGTAGCAGAATTAAATTGCCATCAACTAATCGGTTCGTCCAGTGAACATTCAGTGTAAGTTCATATCAACTCTAAGAAATATTTTCGTGGCCACAGAAAATATCTTTCCTACAGTATTAATGCATTAGAGCATGTAGCTGGATCAGAATCGTAAAGGGATATTATTCACAAGCAGGACCAGAAACTCATGTAATTCGTGCACAAAAGTTTTATTAACTAAATGCTAACAAACATAACTAATCTAAACAAACAAACAAACATACAATCACTCATACATGGGGAAAGGGCAAATGAGACTTAATGGATGAAAACCAGAGAATGAAGCTATGAAAAGAGTCAGTTAACCACCTGAGTAAAACCATCAGCGCCGTTTATAACGGGGTCTATAGCTTATACTAAACCTCGGTTTTGTTTAGTTAAATGTACGATACTTGCATTGCCTTGGTCGTTGACGAGTGTCCGGATGCAGTCAATAATGTAAAGCGCAATTAGTATGTTGTCAGAGGGCATCATTTTGATATCTGATGGTTCTGTTTAATTGTGTTCTAAGCAATAAAAGTAGTTTGACAAAAGTGTAAAAAAAATTTGAGATAAGCTACAAGTAAGCAATATGGTATGAGAGGCCGTGCTGTATTGTAAATAAGTCATGGCTAAAGGGCGTTGTTAGGCACAATGCGATGCGGAGGTTTAACTTTATTTTCAAGGTATAACTTTATTTTCAGTCACATAATTCAGGGTTTTTAGGTTTTACAAATAGATTCCTTACTTTAAAATCCAGTAAAAGAGTGAGTACGCATGGTCTAGAGCAGTGGTTCTCAACCTTTTTTTTTCAGTGGGCCGCACTATGTCCAAGTTCAAGTCTCACGGGCCGCATATTTACATATGACGTCACAAATGCAAACTAGCCACATATTAAGGTATCTAAATGATTACAATTAGATTTATTATTATTATTAGAAAGTATAATTCTACTTACCATTAATGGGACACCTGATGTTGTCGGGAGCAGACCAATTTGGTGAAATTCGGCTCAAAAGGAGTAACAGCACAATGAAGTTGCAGTTTGTAAGACGCGCACGGAAACGTGACTTGATGCACGTCATTGCAGAAAATGTGTGTTCGCAAATGTATGTCGATCCAAACATGGAAAGCACTTTTGAACTTAATCTTAGGTTTTGTCCAGAAATTCTCAAAGAAGAGGAAAAATTGCATGTTAATATCTTCCTTTTTTATTATTAAGGCAAATATATAATACACAACAAAACAGACTAAACAGCACTCACCTAAGCAGCAGTGACAGTAACAGTTTTTCTCTTATCTGAAAGATTTAGGCTACTTCCTTAAGTAGTGTGCGCTGTTACTCAAAAAAATGATTTCTATTTCTTTTGAAAAGATTATATTATATTCTTTATTCTTTAATATCCGGAAAATGCACAAACACATATTTTCGAAAAAGAGTAAGTTTTAACAAGAATAGAAACAAATATTGTTATTTGATCAAGAACCTCATAATTATGTTTTGTTATATATTATGGGAAAGTATAATAAATTTATACAGATAATGTACAAGTGTTTTCTTAATCAGAGCAACAATGGCATCATCCACTCGTCACCACCGACGGAACAGCATGGATGATGAACCTCAAGATATGCTGTAAGAGAGTTCTTATGCATTATACTCACTTTATTCAGTGGACCAGATTCATTGGTTGTTTAAACAAAAATTTGAATATTTTATTATGTAGTATAAAGAATCAAAATAAACTAATGAAACTCAGTTTTATCAACATATAATAAGTACCATATATGCTAATAATTACCATTCATAAAAAAATATATTACAAATGGTACAATATAGAATAATAAATTCTTAATTTTTATATTCTCTTTAGATCTGATGTTATTCGTCTCGACGAGGAATTCATTGCACTCTATGAGAGACATTACCATGAACTCCAGAAGAACATAAAGTCACTGAGTCATCTCATGAATACATTTGAAAAAGAATTCAGACAGTATACTGAAGTCGCTAGAGATGGAGGAATAGTGGGAATAGCTGGAGGAGTCGCCACCATTGCAGGATTAGCTTTAGCTCCATTTACTCTGGGGGCTTCTGTTGCTGTGGCAGGCATAGGGTCAGCTGTGGCCTTAGGTGGTGGAGTTTGTAATGGAGTCTTAAACTTCATGAAAATGCACGATCAGAAGAAATTCATACAAAATGCCAAAAACGGACTTGAAGAATTTCAGAACAAAATCACCCCTATGACTGACATTCTGAATGTCATTTGTAAACATTTTAATGAAATACTGACACACCTTAATAAACCAAAGGATGATATCAGTGGTTTATTTAAATATGCTGCCGGTGCCAGTGAAATATTACGCATCTTACGGATAGATGACATTGGTGAAGTGGCTGCACAGGCGTCTAAAACTGTGCGTCTGACTACAACCCTTACAGGAGTTTTTGCTGGCATTAGCCTTGTGCTCGACATTCTCTCGGTTATCGAAGACAACAAGACACTCGATGACATGGACAAACTAGCAGGAAATCACCAAATAAGTGAAAGTGAGATGGCGTCAAAAGCCGGGAAATTCATTGTTGAAATGAGGAAAGTCATTAATCAGCAACAGGACATCTTGGATGAACTTAAGAAAACAAAAGACAACCTTGCAAGAAGACGGGATCTAATTAAAGACAAAATTGCAAGAAGACGGGATCTAATTAGGGCCCAAGCACTGTGTAACAAGGACCCTGTTGAAATTCCTGTGTCTATTAGGGACCGAGTGTCTATTAGGGCCCAAGTGTCTATTAGGGACCGAGTACCTCTTGGAATTGCTCTGTTTCTTCTTCTTCTTCTTCTTCTGCAAAATTATAAACATTTTTGAGGGCCTAAACATGTTTGAAAACTCATGAAACTTTGCACACACACCAGAAGTTTTTACATCTGATATAGGTTTCAGAAGTGGTGTGTGCCCCTCCCACTACAAAACCATTTTCCAAGTTTCCTACGCCCCATGAGGCCTTGCGTCAAAGTGTCTTCCAGTTCGAAGTAAACAAGCTTCGGAGTGTCGGAGTTTCTCCGCGTCTGGAGAATGGAGAGTGTCAGCGCCGCGGATCATTTCATATAGTTACCAGCTAACATAAACATTAAAGACTTGTAAAACCCTTTCCATTACATTGACTCTCGCACTACACAAACTGTTGCATATCATCCCGGACTACATATCCCATCATCCATTGTACTGATTGCACACAGCACTGATTGCACACAGCTGTATCCAATAACACATTCACTATATATCACTCAATCTGACTCCTATCAAACGGCTGAGTATTGTATGCGCTTATCGCCAGCAGTGATAGCTACTTTACAGAGCCCTCGTTAGTTTCCCAGTCCTAGCCTAGTCTTGCCCTGTCTGTTTTCTTGGTTTCTGATCTTTGCCTGTTTTCCTGAATTTATCCCTCTAGTCTCACCCTTTTGATTCTGTTCGCCGATCGTTGACCTACGCTAGCCCTAGGATTATTCTTGTGTCTTGCCCGCCATATACCTGTTTGCCACCGTTCGACCCTGCCTGTGTTTCTGACCTCCTCTCTGCTTTAATAAAGCTTGCACATGGATCCGCACGTCTCACGTCTTGTCAGCCCCGTAACAATGAGCAACAAAGCAGAAATATGCAATGCAAAAGACTATGCACGCATTACCATGGTAAACATAGTAAATACGACTGCCTGAAAAAAAACAGACAAGTGATGTATTTATTTATTTACATATTTTATCTGTCAATAAGTCTCCTCTCTTTATACCTGATGTTCAAGTAACTCAATTCAGAAACTAACTGGTTAACTTCTTGGATAAGAGACTGGGCATTACATGCAAAAACAGTACTGTATGTGCTCGTAAGTGTGTAATATATACAGCCAGTGGGTGGTGTCCTGATTTATTGAGTGTGAGACAGTTTATACACTTTCAGTTACTCTCATTAAGTTCATACTGTCAGACCGAGAGACATAACGAGAGACTCTGAGAGGCAAAACAAACATCATGGCATCAGGATATAAAGGTTAGTCTAAATTAAATAACCTAATATGACACTCACATACTACAATAAAGTACTGAGAATTAAATGATATGCTGTGCTTTTTGTTTCTGGTAGTGAACACAAACTTTTACTTACTCAATATCCTTTGAATTAAGTAACCAAGCCTGTTCGCAGCTCACAATGCTTTTCATCTCACACAATGGTCTCTATCCACATCTCTTTTCTTGTCTGTCAACTAACATGAAAGGTAAAGCACATCTGAACTGAACACTGTGAATCTGTCACATAATTTACCATCTTACATGTTCCTCACTACCAGATCATCACCAATATATCAATTCAGTACTGAGACAGTTGTATTATTATTTTGAAGGTAAATGTGGTCCGACATTATTGATATTTCATGATAATAAAGTTTGTATAGTAAAGATTGCATAATATATGATCACTATTACATTAAACAATCAAAACATTAGTCTATATATCAGTTTATTTTGTGAGGTTCAGCTGATTATTATGTAATATTATGGTGGTGGGAATGAAAGTCATACCACTTTCTGTGGAAAATTAATTGACATAAGAGGATAAAAAATGCATATACAAGTGGTTCCCAATGTTGTCCTGAAGCAACCCTAGGAGTGCATATTTTAGATTTCTTATTGGACACACCCAACTCTAGTAAATCAGCTGATGGGTTACTTCAACTGATTTAAATAACGATGTTAAATAATAATGAAGAAGAAATACTATGTACTGCACTGCCATATGCACATAAATGTGTGCAATTTAAGAATGTGCACAATGGCTATATCTGGTCCCCCAGATATTTATTTAGTAAAATATAATTATGACAAATCTGATTAAGCTCACGCAGTTAGGAAACGGTACATTTCGTAAATTATTTAGTCATTCATGTGACTAAAGTCTGTTTTTAGGCTGACAAAATGTAAATGCCTCTGTCATGCATGTAGCTAGCATTAAGAATAAGTGCCGGTGAGGAAATTTTCCCACTGATTAATTAACATATGACAACACCAGTGTTATCTAAATACACTCGCACATTTAACAAGAAATTATATTTGTTGATTGTCAGCATTTGTAGCTCTTATTTTGATCATTAATGTTTGATATTTACATCTTCCCCCTATCTTTTAACCAAAATATTATTAAAGGGGTAATATGATTCGATTCGAACACTCTTTGGAGTGTTACAAGCTCTTGGTGCATAAAGAAGATCTGTAAAGTTGCAAAGACTAAAGTCTCAAATCCAAAGAGATATTCTTTATAAAAGTTAAAGAGTCAGCCACGCCTACCTAAACCGGCTCTCGATATCCGCTTCGTCATGCCTGGAGCTGATCCGTGCTGGTTGCTGAGGAAATACATCACCTTCGTGCTGTGGATCGGCTTTCACCGTGGACGAAGTGGAGTCCAGCCCGGGGTCGTCACATGTGGTTGCCGCAAGCCTCCTTCGTCGAATCCGCCGGCCGCGCCGTTATCAAGCCCGCCGCCTCCGCTCACTCAGCCCTTCGGCCGTTCCTCACTCTAGCCCCCGGACTTTTTATATTTGATATTTTTTATATTTAAAGCAAGTTTTTTGGGCAGTGTAGAGTAGGGCTTGTTGTTTGTCATTTCTCCGATCACAAATGCTGACATGGTTTTATAATTACACGGCGCGATGCAACGCAACGCGTAAAAAGACAGTATAAGTCATTATAATCCGTAATTATGTCCCCACTGGATGCAACGAATGCCTCGTTTGTAATGGGTTTTAATGTTTTTGAATCATCGCTCCGGCCGGACAGGGTATCATCACAATGTGTTAAGGGGCGTAACATTTCCGTCACACGCTTGAGGTATTCGACCAATCACAACGCACTGGATAGCTGGCCAATCACAGCACACCTCGCTTTTTCAGACCGATGAGCTTTGTAAAAATCGACGCGCTTCAGAAAGGCAATGTACAGTATGTGGAAAATAATGTGTTTTTTGAACCTTGAACCGCATAAACACATTTCATTACACCAAATACACAAAATAATGTTCTATTTAGCAACATCATATGACCCCTTTAATATGTGCCCCACCTTATAGAAAACCAATTGTAATGAACTTTGAATTGCCATGGATGTTTTTTCTCATTTTTTTCCCCCTTGCATTGGTATGGTGATTATGAGTATATTATGAATGTGTAATACAGATTATAGTACTTTTGTGAAATGAAATATAAGTTGTTGTTTTTTAATACCATAAACGTAAATCCCATAAAAATAAGTAACTACTGTAAAATAAGTAACTACTGTATTTTTTTTTACAGTAAAGCACCAGGAACCACAGATAATGTTTTTTTTTTTTTGCCATAAATGCATAAACCATAATAGGTTGCTATCGTATTTTTACGGTAAAATACTGGCAGCAACAGTTGCCCTTTTTTTTTACCATAAATTTCACAGGTTTTTTCTTACAGTGCAGGATCTGAGGATTGTTTTATTGGGAGTCTCTGGAGCTGGAAAGAGTCCAACAGCAAATGCAATACTGGGGCGAGATGCATTTAAAGAGAGCAGAACCAGAGAGAGTGAGATACAGAGAGGAAGAGTAAGGCGCAGAAACATCTCCATCATCGACACTCCAGGATTCTTCAACACTCAGCTGACTGATGAAGAGCTGCAGAAACAGATGATGAAAAGTCTTTCTCTCGCTGATCCTGGTCCTCACATGTTCCTGCTTGTCATCAACCTGGAAACCTTCAGAGAGGACGAGAGAAACATTGTAGAAAAGATTCAGGAGATCTTTGGAGCTCAAGCCTTGAATTTGACCATGGTGCTGTTTACTAGAAGAGAACTAATGTCAAACAGAGAATGGATGGACATTAAGTTTAGTAGAAAGTTTCAGAACCTAATCAGTCACGGCAGAGGACAATATCATGTGATCAACAGTAAAAGTGAGATTAATGAAACTCACATCACCAATCTTCTAGAGAAAATTGATGAAATCATCAAGCAAAATGATGAAAAATATTATAAAATGAGATTCACTTAAAGTCTACAATAAAGATTAGAAATGAAAATAAAAAACAACAGGAAGAAAATGAAAAGGACAGAAAAAAAGAGCAAGGGGAACAGATAAAACAAGAGCAAATAAAAATAGCCTGGGAAACAATTAAAATGCACAGTGTCAAGGATAAGAACACAAGAAACGTTGAAAAGAAAAGTTTCCTTTCTAATGTGACAAAAAGTGAAATAAATGAATTACATGAAGACAGATTTAGAGTTCAACAGGAAAACAAGAATGATGAAGAGGAGTTGATCAAACAATCAGTAAAATCACTGAGAAGCTCATTCGAAAATATGGGAGAAAAAAATACAGTCCAGAAACCGAACAAATGCTGGAAAACAAGCGGAAGAGGAAAATGGGACCAAAAGAAACAACAGACAGAGACAGAACAACATCGAACCCAAGCCGGTGAGAACAGTTTTAATACACTTTTCTTTCATTTAATGACACATCTCTTGAAAATTGAATGAAACTTAATTTATTTTTCTGATCTAAAACGTAGTTTTAGAGTCCATACAGAACAGACGCACAAAATCTGGCGACTGCAGAGATCTCAGGATCTTAATGGTGGGTAAAACTGGAGCTGGAAAGAGTGCGACAGGAAACAGCATCCTGAGACAAAAAACATTTAAAGAAGAATTATCTACTGAATCTGTGACTAAGAAATGCCAACAGCATCAGCAGACAGTAGATGATAGAAACATCTCAGTGATCGACACTCCAGGACTGTTTGATACATCAATCAGTGAAGAACAACTGAAGAAAGAGATTGAGAAGTGTGTGGAGATGTCTGTTCCTGGTCCTCATGCGTTTCTTCTGGTCCTCAGACTGGACGTGAGATTCACAGATGAGGAGAAAAACACCGTGAAATGGATTCAGGAAAACTTTGGAGAAGAAGCTGCACGTCACACCATCATTCTGTTCACTAGAGGAGATCAATTAGATAAACCTATAAAGCAGTTTCTGGCAGAAAATAAGCAGATTAATGAGCTAGTTAGTCAGTGTAAAGGCAGGTATCATGTGTTCGATAATACAGATGGAAACAATCAATCACAGGTCACTGAACTGCTGGAGAAGATGGACAGAATGGTGATGGAGAATGGAGGAGAGCATTATACAAATGAGATGTACAGAGAAACTCAGAGAAAAATCTGTGAAGAAGGAAAGAGTTGGAGCGAGGAAGAAGAGAGAAAGAAGGTGGAAGAGGAAGAAAATATAAGGGAGGATGAAAGAAACAGGCTATTGAACATGGCTAAAGATGTGGCCTTAGTGGGGACAGGTGTGGTAGTGGGTGCAGGAGCAGCAGTTGCTGGAGGTGCAGTACTGGCCTCAACTAGTGGACCGACACTATGTGCAGCTGTAATCTCAGGAGCTGCAGTGGCTGGAAATGTGGTACTGGCCTCTACTGCTGGTGGAATGACACTAACTGAAGCTTTAATGACAGGAGCAGCAGTTGCTGGAGGTGCAGTACTGAAATCTTTTACTGGTGGGGCATCACTAACTGAAGCTTTAATTGCAGGAGGAGCAGCAGCTATGTCAAGAATTCAAGTTACAGTTACAGATCCCAAGAAGCTGAAGGAAATGCCGCAAACGATACATAAGTAGTTACAATTACTGAAGGAGTGCTACTTGGAGTCAGAGTCTCAGAGCATAATTTGAGCAGTAGTTTTATTATACTACTTCACATATGTGAAGTGAAGATCGCATATCACTAGCAAGAATTCAAACATATAGTTGGATGGACACACACACACACACACACACACACACACAAAGAAAAAACATCACTTGTATATTTAAGCATTCTTGATCACTGGAGAGTCAGTTCAAATCGTCATCAGCTGCGCTCAAGGATCTTCCCTTAATGGTGTTGAGGTTTGGCTATTTAATAAATTAATAGCAAATAATAATAAAGCAAAAAGCTCTGTTAATTTACGTGAAATGTATGGTTTATTTAAAATGCAGTAAAATACATATAAAACTATTGAGACAGATGGAGAATTTATACACGTGTCAGGTTCTTTGACGAGTGACAGCTTTTAATGATTTTTAAGGGAGTTTGTAAATGTGATACTGATTTAATACAAAAGTTCAATAGACAAGAAGTTAATATTAAGTGACTTACGTTTTCTGACTATAACACTATTGTCTGATTGCTTCTATTGTCCTCATTTGTAAGTCGCTTTGGATAAAAGTGTCTGCTAAATGACTAAATAAATAAATATTCATAATATACATTTATATATTCAGAATTGTATATAATTATTTCCTGTTTGGCACCTCATAATAATAATACATACATTTATGTATGTAAATACGCTGCCGTCAGAACTGAGGTGTTTAGCCTCAAAATGTTCACAACGCCTCAGTTCTGATGGCCGCACGGAGCACGATCATCCCTTCCTCTTTATTACTAGTTTTAATGTGAAATAAACATGAATTAACAACTCATGCCTCGTAATTGCTCAATCAGTGTTTCACTCACGGAAAGATGCGATTAAAACAGCTTGTAAACAAAATGTCACATAGCATTTCATTTACCTCAGACAAGTCATCAGTGTCCACAGCTCGTCAGTTCGCCAGAAAAATTAAGACTAGAGAAGAGCATTTCGTGAAATATTAGACTATATACTCATTATATTTTACTTTACCTGTTAGTGATATCTTAATTATTTAATATAGGCTATATTTAAATAAATATTTTATGAAACAAGTTATGACAGCCACTGTGTAAATGATTAGCTATATTTCAACAACAAATATAAATTGTATAATTTAGAAGTTAATTTAAAACTGCAATGACTGCAATTTACATGTTTGCATACAATTTTTTTATTTGAGTGTTGATTATTATAGTTAAAAATAAATAGTAATTACATTTAAATTTGGGCTCTGTTGTTAATTGTGACCTTTTAGTTGGCTTAATGTAAAAGTGCTCCCTATAGTTTGGAGCAGAGGTAGATTTTTATCAAATGTTTTTTAATTTTATTTTATGAGGTAGATTTAAAGAACATTTAAATTCTAATTGAATTTATTTAAAGAAAGAGCCATTTGTTCAGTAAAACATTGTTTAATTCAAAAATATATATGTTTAGTATTTTTTCCTTATGCTGTACCAAAACCATACCGAACCATGATGTCAAAACCGAGGTACACACCGAACCATCATGTTTGTGTCCCGTTACACCCCTTATGTATATATATATATATATATATATATAAACATTAATTCGATTAATTAATTAAGGTGAAAAATAACGCGTTAAAATTATTAATGCATTTAACACACTTTCCCCGCAGTTCAGACACACTCTCTCTGTTTAAATCTAGATTAAAGACACATCTCTTTGGTCAAGCATTTAAATAATGCATCTCATAATCTTACTGCAGTTATATCTGATAAAATGCACATTATTATTCTTCAGTTTCGGTTAACAACTTCAATTTTGCTTGGTTGGAACAGCAGCTACGCAGCACCAGGTCACTGAAACCGAACATTTTTGAAAAACGCCTGCCACAGTGAAGATTTTCAAAAACTCCGGTTTCAGTGTTATCGTGTAGACAAGAGTTTTTGGCTTGTGACGTCGGAGCCTGCTCTGTTATCTCCGCCTACTGGAAACTTTTTAAGGCTTCTGATTGGCCAACATGGCTTTACGGTTGATATTAAATCGACACCTGTTAGTTTGGCATGGTCTTGACAGTGCATCATAGCATGCGTTTGCGTTTTCATGTGGACAGAGATTTTTTTTTAATCGGAAGAAGGAAAAACTGTTTATAAAAATACCCGTGTACGTGTGGACATGGCCTCAGCCTGGATCTAGAACACCTCAGAAGAGATGATGCCAACCCCTCAGATGATGCCAACCCTGAAACAATATACAGAACTACCAAATTTTGCTATAAGTTTGATTGCATCATATAATAATTGCTGTTAATAGTGTTCATCGTCTGTTTGATTACGTCTTTAATTGCC